ATACCCCTTAACTCTTTTTTTGAGTACGGGTATAAAAACGAGAAGGAACGTGTGAGTCGCTTCTGGGGACGCGACTCTACTTATACCCGTACTCAGTCAGTACATACATTTTTGAGACTAAAATTTTTTAGAATTTTAAAATTAAAAAAAAAATTTTACATTTCACTTTTTTTTGCTACATCTGTTATCTACATCTACAATGTATATTTTACATCTAACATGTAGATTATAGATGTAGCATTCATATTCTACATCTCCTCCGCTAGGGGTTGTTCGCGCACTGAACGCGGCAGAGTGTGCGAGCGAGAAAGAGAATGAGTGGTTGGTTTCTTGCAGGAGGGGGCGGCGGAAGCAACAGAAAATTAATTTTTTCATTCTGGCTATAATTATGATCCGATCTAATTCAGATTCGGATATCTGGTAGATATGGGCATTTTCTTCGATACTGCGCTTTTAGTTTTATCGTATCTTTAAAATTGTGCCTGCCACAGATTTTCGTCCTTTGTGGTGTCGGAAGGGGACGGGGCGCAATTTTGGAATACACTTGTAGCAGTGTGATATCACATGAGTCTGGGAACAAAATTTGGTTGCTCTAGCTTTTATAGTCTGAGATCAGATCCATGCGCTCATCAAGACGGACGGACGGACAGACGGACATATCGACTCGGCTATTGAGGCTGATCAAGAATATATATACTTTATGGGTTCGGAAACGTTTCCTTCTCTGCGTTGCACACATCCACTTTTACCACAAATCTAATATACCCCTTAACTCTTTTTTATTACGCGCACACGAGCAAGATATTGAATATTCCGCACTTCAAAAAATGTTGATTGCTATGGAAAGGCATGTCCCCATTGTCAAGTATAAACATGAGTCAAGTGGTATGTTTTTCGCATAAGGAAAAGTAGAACTACCTAAAATTGAGACACCACCGGAACCATTGAACAGTGAACAAGTGTACCACAAAGTAGGCTCTTTGCTGCTAATGCCAATCAAAGCACATGCGTTTTTACAAATACTCTTCATGGGTGGTGAGGACATAAATCGCGCACTCACCAATCGCGTAGATGCACGTTGCGGTTACCATAACCTCACTTTGGCAATAGTTAGGCGCATAGTTGTAGAGGTGGACAAACTACTTAATCATCACAATGAATTATTGGAATTATTCATTAAGCAATAATTTAAGTCTTTAACCCATGCCTAGCTATTGTACCCAAGGGAGTACAAAAAAACGTCAACTTTCAAATAGTCGTTACTTTAACTAGACTAATCTGTTTGGTCTCCCAGCCGAGCATTATTTACTATTTTTAGTCAGTGGTGCAGCCTTAAATTAATTCCTGTTATTTGTTCGTTATTTGCACTGCTTACTGTACCTAATTGTAATCGACATGCATCTACACTCGCCCCCTTACTGTAATAGCCGTTTCAACCGTTTTTTCGCATTCGCTATCGCTCTCTTCATCTATCTTTTTCTCGCTTGTATTAGGGCACGGGCAATTCGCCTGCCCTTAAGACAGTCTGGACGTAGCACTCGTACCTGACACATTGTCGCCTAATCGACCTAATCGAAAATGAATAAACATATTTGTATAATAATCTGTTCGTGAAGTTTTATTGTAAAACCAGGTGATACATTTGGTATCCTCCTCTAAACATAATCGTTTTGCACATTTTTAGTACTTCGATGAATGTTTGGCTCTATAAAATTAATTGGACAATTTTTATACCCGTACTCAAAAAAGAGTTAAGGGGTATATTAGATTTGTGGTAAAAGTGAATGTGTGTAACGCAGAGAAGGAAACGTTTCCGACCCCATTCTTGATCAGCATCAATAGCCGAGTCGATATAGCCATGTCTGTCTGTCCGTCCGTCCGTCCGTCCGTCCGTCCGTCCGTCAGTCCGTCAGTCCGTCCGTCTTGTTGAGCGCCTGGATCTCAGAGACTACAAGAGTTAGGGTAACCAAATTTGGTTTCCAGACTCATGTGATATCACACTGCTACAAGTGTATTTCAAAATTTCGCCCCGCCCCCTTCCGCCCACACAAAGGACGAACATCTGTGGCAGGCACATTTTTAAAGATACAATAAAACTAAAAACGCAGTATCGTAGATAATGCCTATATCTACCAGACTGCCGAATCTGAATCAGATCGGATCATAATTATAGCCAGAATGAAGAAATTAATTTTCATTTGCTTCCCCTGCCCCCTCCTGCCGACGACCATGCAACTCATTTTCCTTCCCGCTCGCACACTCTGCCGCGTTCAGTGCGCGAGCAACCCCTAGCGGAGGAGATGTAGAATCTAAATGGTACATGTTTAATCTACATGTTAGATGTAGAATATACATAATATATGTAGATGTAGATAACAGATGCAGCAAAAAAATTTTTTTTTTGTAATTCTAAACTTCTAAAAAATCATATGCTCTAAAATGTATATACTGACTAAGTACGGGTATAAGTAGAGTCGCGTCCCCAGAAGCGACTCGCACGTTCCTTCTCGTTTTTTTTAATTTAGAAAGAAAAATATTTGTTTGTTCATATACGCATAGCCCTAAAACTATTAAATTTCAAAAACATTTTTTATTATGTGTTTAATCCTTACACCTGGATTTTGTACTTTTAATTTGAAAAGTTTAAAAATAAGTCAAGTTAAAAAATTAAGGATCATTTAAAAATTCCTTAAAATTGCCAAATATCCGTATTATTTATCACATAACGGTACGGCCCCCATATTTTGCCATTGTAGCCGAATAAAAAATATAATTTTAAAAAAAACCGAATTCATTTTTTTAATGATATTATATTTTTTGTGTTCATTATGTTCCTGTTAACTAAATAAAAACAATGGATTTAAAAATTTTTTGTTTTAATGACACTCGGCGCTTAATGTGTTAATGAGATTCTGAATTTTGTAATAAATTAAACGTTGATATTGACAATCGTTCTGCAGTTCAGTGCCATCTATCAAATATATTTGCAAGTATGTGAATAAAGGCAGCGATATGACTGTGTTTCAAATTCAAAATGCTGATGTGAAGTGTGAGACTGCCATCTTACCCTCGTAGATTGCTTTTAATAAACCTTCCAACCTTAGTCGTAGAAAAAGGCTTGGGGTGATTTTTATGCACAACCTGATCAAGGGTGACGTAGATAGCCCTGACTTGTTGAGCCGCATAACCTTTACGATTCCTATTAGATCTACTAGAAACTTTATTAATTTGTTCCTTCCGCTTTGTAGATCAAATTATTCCTTGCACGAACCATTTAGGGTCCTATGCTCGGACTTCAATTCCCTCTACCCTATAAAATCCACCGCTAATTCCCTTCCTCTTCTTAAATCACTAATACTAATACATACATTTCCCGTAACACTACTCGACAAAATCCAACTTTTTTTCCTCAAGGATCTAAACCGACTTTTTCTGATAGATATGGGACTTTAATTTTTTTTAAAGCATTATTTTTTTATAACAGATTGAAAAAATTCTTAAAAAAAAAATTTCTGCCACAGAAACAAGAAAAAGTATCATCAAACCATGTCTAAGCCCTAAGTCTTTAAGAAAAATTTGGGTTTGTTCCTTTAGGAACAATTTTTATTTAATAATAATTTAATAATTAGTACAATTTTTTAGCTATCTTTGCATGTTTAGCTCTTTGGGTTGTGTTTAGCTCTAATTTTCCTCGAATTTTAGCCTAACACCTATCTTTCCTGCATGCTCGTGATCGGTTCGGTAACACCCGTCGCGCGTCATGCGGCTGCGCCCCTCGGTCGGTTGGGCGGGAGGAAGGGCTGCGTTTCTGCCTGGGTTCCGCGCGTAACAGGCTCCGCTTGGTGTCGCATGGGCCACTTGATGGTGCAGTCATTGCATTTCAACGTCCAAAAATACAATTCAAATACAAAGATTCAAATACAAAAAAAAAAAACTTTTTAAAAAAGATCTTTAAAATGATATAGAAGACTTGGGGCTGGCGAATGAGCGAAGCGAGTGAGCAGGGGCCTGCCCCCTAGTATTAATATATTGACGAGTACGAGTATAAAGTAGACTCGCGGTCATAGAAGCGATTCACACGTTCCTTCTATTTTTGCTATTAATTTGGCGTTGTTTTGTTTTCTTTTTCTTCGCGATTTAGTGCAAATTTTAATCGATATATCAGCTATCGATATAAAGCAATCCATTATATTTCGCTGATTTAAATCGGGTTTTCAATAAAAGTTAATGAAATGATATGTCAATTGGTTAAATTAGTAAACTTTTAATCAATTCCGATAATAATTACGCGACAGAATTATATGGGCATTTCTCTGACGAGGTCCACCGAGGCCCAAAAATGCAATGTCTATAAAATCACATTTCCATATAATTCTGTTGCGATATTATAGTATAAATTTAATGATCGATAACTAGTTTACCCAATTGACATAAATTCATTAACTTTGATGTGAAAACCTATTCAAATAAGCAAAACTTCACTTTTTCGGTATTATTTTTTTTTTTTTTGCTTTTAGTCGTGTTTTCTACTATGTACTATTATCTTATATAAAAATTAAAATTCTTGTGAAAATTTATTGCACAAAATCTTTGTAACATATTAAACTATCTAAAAAAAAAAACGAATTTTCGTCAGTGCACAACATGTGAGGAAATTCGCATCAACATATTGCCTCAGCTGAATTGATCGCCGCTAAAACCACTTGTCCCGTGCGAATGGCTTGGTTTTTTGACAAAATCTCGAAAACGAATAGTTTTCCAAAATCGACCTTAGCACCACTTATAGGGTTAGTCAAAAAACGTATTATAAAATTTTGAAATTTTTTTTTTTATCTTTCTACCTTGCAATGCGTACGACTGTCCCATTCGACTTCTGAGAAATGCCCATATGTGCTATTATTGACATTTAATTTGTTGGACTCGGTGAACTTTCCCATGAAAATGCTCACATGTATATACACATACATATATGTACAAATATAACTTTTTTTTTTTTTTAGCCAAATCGTAATGAAAGTGAATACCGGTCAACACAAATTGATAACCGCACATGCGATGGAGCAGAATTTCATGGAGCTGTGGCAGCACCAAAAAAGACAACCTGGGCTTCTATTGCATCCCAGCCGGCTAAACTGTCATCCAGAGTAAGTATTTCATAATAGCTATTTGATGCAAGTATAACTGAAATACATACACAGGCTGCATCGACTACTTCCAATCATAAGAAAAAGGGTCCTGGTATGCCACCTCCACCAATGGTACCAGGAAAACATAATTTAGATGTTAATATATGGGACTTACCAAATAATAAGCCACCGCCTGTACCAGCACCATCACCGATTGATTTGGTTTATTCTGATTTTAACGCTGACTTTTTAAAATCAGCCATCACAGAGCCTCCTCTAGGGGCACGATCTGAAAAGGCTCATAAAGACACGGAAAATTTGCATAATTACGAGAACAAAAGTTTGGGTAATATAAGTAATTCCAGCAGAATAAAAGTATCCCCAAACTTTCCCAAACATTTGGGAACACATCCCGTTCATCAGCCAGTAGGTCCTCAATCAGGTCACTTGGGAACCATCGGAGCATCTATTCGACGAACCGAATGTGTTAATCCTACAATTCGGACTACTGACCGTACAGGCAGAATTGAAATTATATCAAAGTGTAAAAATCTGGATCAAAACAGTTCTCGACCAATAGAACTGCCTGCAACTGAAGACATACCTGTTGATCCACAATTACTCTTGGAAGAATTAAAAGACAAAAACAATTACAATCCAAAACTAATGGACTTGAACAAAGCCACAACAGCACGGTAACTAACCCAATTAAACATAATAGTTTTTAACTTTTCAGATGAAAATGGACTTTTTAGATGACGAAAATATTTTAAACAAAATTTTTCTTACATTTTTTTTAAGAGTTACCATATTTTAGTCAGATTTAAAAGAAAAAAAATTGTCCAGAATTCTTTCTTTTCTATATTGTTCAGGAAAAAACTACGATACAGCCTTATTGTGTCCACAATGAGTATGTCGATGTCGTAAATCGCAAGGAATAGGCGCCACCATTTTTTTGGGTCCACCACCAATGTTTGAAATCATCCGATAGAGAACTGCCTGCGTGTTTATTACTTTTTGTCTGACATACTCCATGTGCCAGCGGTTTATCGGTTATTTATTGCGTTTAATAACTGTTATTTAACAATAGAATATGTATACTCAAAGAGTATAGGGATATATTAGTTTAGTAGTAAATTTGGATGTGTGTAAACCCCTAAAGGAAACGTTTCTGACCCCATAAGGTATATACATATATTTTTGATTAGCATGAATAGCTGAGTCGATATAGCTAGGTCTGTCTGTCCATCTTGTTTGACGCCTAGTTATCAGTGAAAATAGGAAGAAGAGTAACCAAAATGTTCATAATTTCGCCACGCCCCACAGTATATCGAAGGGAAACTTTTTTATATAAAATTCTGGCGACAGCTGAAATGTTGTCCGATTTTTGTAATTGTTTTGTTAAAATACAAAAATTAGGAGCCAGGTTTTCTGTACTAAATCTTATTCCAGTTCTGCAATGATTTAATTGTTAATCAGTTAATTTATACACTTATGGACAAAATAATAGGTGTGCTTTTTTTTTCTTTTTCAACTTTTAATTTCTAGTTCATATCTTCTCTAATCTCAACAAATCAAAGTTTTTTCAAATCTTAAATTAATTGTCTTTAAAGAAAAAGTAAAAACAGTTTCACAAACCCTTTAATTTACAAGAAAATTAAATATTTCCTTAAATCCGTCAATTTTGGCTGGACACAATAATAGGTGTACGAAGATAAATGTTTAAACTAAATCGATATTTCACTATTTTAGGTCTTGTTTTATATTAAATTGAGTGTCTGGATATACTCGGTATATCCGCCATTATTTTGTAGGGATTTCTCAATTCGTCTGGAGCATGGAGGATATTAACTTGCGACAAGTTCCAATTGGAATGTTGTACCTCCTCTTTGGACAATATCCCAAAGTTGATTTTTATTTTGTCAAGAAGTCTTTTCGACCTCTCTTTTGAGTTCACCCCAGAGATTCTCGATTTAGGTGGATTTAGGTCCGGGGATTGACTTGGCCACCCAAGAACATCCACACGTTGCTCTCAGAACCAATCCTTCGGTCATTATCCTGCTGGAACTTCCATAAAAGTGGCATATTATCCTCGGCATATGGTAGCATCACCGTATCCAATAGATCTTTGTATACGAATCTGTCCCATATTCCGTCAATACGATGAATCGGACCAACACCATACCATGAAAAGCAGCACCATACCATTAGGCTACCACCTCCATGTTTCACAGTTTTACATGTGTGAGATCAAATTCTTTGCCTTTCGGACGACGAACATTCCTTTTGGCATCATTTCCAAATAAATTGATCTTGGTTTCGTCACTTCAGAGGATATTAAGCCATTTTTTCTCACCCTCCGGTCCGCAACAGGTTATACGATCTAGTGCAAATTCTTTCCTCATCTGTAAATTTGCCGAACGAAGCAAAGGAACCCTGCGAGCAATCCTACCTAGGTAGGTTTTCTATTGCCAATCGTCGCCGAACGGTCCGTGATGACACAATATTCCCAACTTCGTTGGCAATCGTCCTGGAAGACTTGACCAACTAAACCATTAAACAACTGAACCATGCGATCGTCGGTTTTAAATGATGATTTTCTAGTTGACCCCGAGTTTCACCTATTTTTTCCGGTTTTAAGGCATTGGTTACGAAGTTTTGAGATCGTTTCATTAACCTGGCAGGCTCGAATGAGCCTTCTCTCCTCCGCACTGCATTGACGCCCTCGTCCCATCTATTACAATTTTAATGACTGTTAAGTCCCAATTTAGTTATATATTTCTAATACCTTACCTTCTGAAACCAATAGCTATCTTGATAAACTGCATTTTAATGTTTTGCTTCATACACCTATTTTATTGACTAGCCGAATTCGCCGTCTAATAGCCATATGACATTAGACTTAGACAATTTTTCTGCGTAGAGAGGGATAGCATGAGAGACAGAATGGAACATTATTGTTCAGTCAAACAACTAAGGCACTACTTGATACAAAATGATGTTTTCCAGCTAAACATAGCCACCAAGCCAGTAAAATTGTATCCGCAGAGTAAAATTTTTCGATAAATTTTCGAGCTCAACTGGACAGCCAGCTTGACGCATAGTTCTCTCGCTCTGACTCCAGACATTTCCCATAAGTCCAGCTAGTCAGTTAGAAAAGTCTAATGTCATATGGCTATTAGCCAATCCCGAAAACTAATTAAATCCGAGAATTCCCCCAATTCCCACCGAAACAGTGTGACCATTTTAAAAAAGGATAGTTTCCTTCTTCTTTAAAGACAATTAATTTAAGATTTGAAAAAACTTTGATTTGTTGAGATTAGAGAAGATAAGAACTAGAAATTAAAAGTTGAAAAAAAAAAAAAAAAGCGCACAGCTATTATTTTGTCCATAAGTGTATGTGCGTCTTACTTTCGAAATCAATTTAAAATGTAAAACCTCTACTGTTCATGTTAGCGACAGGTCTGCACAGGGAAATTTTTATTAAAAGGAGTTTTAGCATTTAACAATCAAGTTTTCCCTTTTCACGAACAGCGGAGGAGAGAGCGAGCATGCGGCATTCATCGGCTCCGATCCATTTTTGTCGCTTACGTATAATTACGGATAAAATATATTGGCTACATATACATACATATGTAGGTCATTTATCATAAGATTACATATATACTGAGTATCGGGTGTAAGAGTAGAGCCGCGGAGTCCCTGTCATAACAGCTAAATGCTGTTTTTTGGAGTATGTTATACCTTGTTTTCAAAAACTTTTGAATTCTGGAAAGCTAATGAAAAGCTAATAATTAAGACTACTGTTTGGCTAAAAGGCTGAGAAACTTAGTGTGTATGTTGTTTTTGCGATATTTTTCTTGAAAAACTGAGGAAACTTAGTTAGATTTCCAGCAGACAGATTACTCTAGCGTTACTCTTACTGCTCACTGCTGCACACCCCTACGCTCATGCATTAAAGCAGCGATGCTCATTGCCCTGCGAGCCCTTTTGTTTTTATACCCGTACTCAAAAAAGAGTTAAGTTATTGTATTTGTGGTAAAAGTGGGTGTGTGTAACGCAGAGAAGGAAACGTTTCCGACCCCATAAAGTATATATATTCTTGATCAACATCAATAGCCGAGTCGATATAGCCATGTCCGTCTGTCCGTCCGTCCGTCTTGATGAGCGCCTAGATCTAAGAGACTATAAGAGTTAGAGCAACCAAATTTTGTTTCTGGACTCATGTAATATCACACTGCTACAAGTGTATTTCAAAATTTCGCCCCGCCCCCTCAAAGGACGAAAATCTGTGGCAGGCACAATTTTAAAGATACGATAAAACTAAAATAAAACGCAGTATCGTAGAGAATACCCATATCTACCAGACTGCCGAATCTGAATCAGATCGGATCATAATTATAGCCAGAATGAAGAAATGAATTTTCTGTTGGTTCCCTCTCCTTCTCCAGCGCTGCTGACGCTACTGATTCTCTTTCTCGCTCGCACACTCTGCGCGTTCAGTGCGTGAACAACCCCTAGCGGAGGAGATGTAGAATATGAATGCTACATCTATAATCTACATCTTAGATGTAAAATATACATTGTAGATGTAGATAACAGATGTAGCAAAAAAAAAATAAAATTTTTTTTTAAATTTTAAAATGCTAAAAAATTATAAGCTCAAAAATGTATATACTGACTGAGTACGGCTATAAGTAGAGTCGCGTCCCGAGAAGCGACTCACACGTTTCTTCTCGTTGTAATTGCCCCCAGCATAGGAAACCAATTTTTGTATGCATTGACAGTTTGTGCTGTGTACCAGCATACCGAAAGCTCAACACATGCAAATAACTTTGTGTGTATGCGATCCGTCCAGCAAAACCAGTTTTGTCTCTTCTCTGATTGGTGTTAACCCGACTTTTGTTATGATTTTTTTGTTGTCTTTTCTTCGAGTTCGCACTGTTTCCTTATTCGTATTTGTGAGTGCTCTGCCGTAAGCTGAATTTGGGCACCCCTGCATTAAAGTTTCCCGCTGTCCCCATGGAGGCTTCACCGCAAGAAACGTTTACGATAGCGTTGATTCAGAGGTATAAATTCTTGATCAGCATCAATAGCCGAGTCGATATGCCCGTCCTGATGAGCGCCTAGTTCTCAGAGACTATAAGACCAAGAGCAACCAAATTTTGTTTCCAGACTCATATGATATCACACTGTTACAAGTGTATTTCAAAATTTCGCTCCGCCCTCTTCCTCTTCCACAAAGAACGAAAATCTGTGGCAGCCACAATTTTAAAGATACGATAAAACTAAACACTTAGTATCGTAGAGAATGACCGAATCTACCAAATTTCCGAATAGAATTATTTTTTTTTTTTTTTCAATTTTTTTTTTCCAATTTAATTACTTAACAATTATCTGCTAACTATGAACTATAATAGGAATATACATAATTAAAGAAAAAATATAATAGGAGAAGAAAAGAAAGGTTTTAAAAATTTGCTAGGTTAAAGTGAAGGTAAACGTTACGTACAATCGTATCAAGGGATAGTTGAGGAGATATTGTATTGTAAAAGGAATTGTAATTATTGCAAAGAACACGGAAAGGTTCGTGCTGCGCGAAGTTAGATCTGCAGAAGGGTAAACGGATAGGCAGGAAAGTTCGGGTTGGTCTAGAAGGAACTGAAGAAGGAGAGGAGTTTGGGAGTCTACAAGC